TTGACGATATTAGTTTACATTAGGGGAAATAAGAAACAAGAGTGTATGAGAGAGAATGGAAATAACATGAAGGAATTGATTTTTATGTACCTTCAATTAGGTTTTCTTATTAACCATTTCTATAATCTACTTATCAATCAAAGTGACTTTAAATAGTAATATTTATATATACGCAATACTATTGATACAATTCATTGATTTCTTACTACAGAGAACAAAATATCTTGCTTTTTATGTAAAGATCCTTAATCGTTTTAAAGATCATGTATGCGGAGTACAATCAAATCTATGTAATGGATCAATTTTGGATCAACATAATTTATATGAACATTTAACAATAGTTTTCTAACGCTCGCGCACGAAACCGAAAGGTCCTAGGGTCGAATCCCGCGTGCAAGATCATGGCTACACACTACTGAGGAGTCCCATACTGGGACGAAATGGCCATCCAGTACTTCTAGGTCTTCAATAGCGGTCTAGCTTTAATCGACTCACGAATTCAACTATTAAATTATTGGATTACTGGATTAATCAATGATCTGTAAAGATATTACCTTACAAAGGTTAGAACTAAAAGATACATTTAGATCCCATGTCATAGTATTCGAAACACCATTCAGACATATTTTACAACGTCAGACAATTTTTGTTCGATTGTAACAATCGCCAGCTGACTCATTTCTTCTATTATTGGTTAGCCTAGTATTTTCACGAACTATTAAAAATGAAAGACAACAATTTTGTAGTTTAATTGAAGAATTTTTATAGAGGTTAGTTTAATTTCTAGATTGTATTCGTCACAGATTGATCACACTTCGGACACCATTGTTATATAGAGACTGAGTAGAAATATTTCCGCGTTTCCACAGCATACTGTAATTCATGCTATTTATTCTGACAGATTAAAATAGTATGTAGCAGCAATCGGAAGTAGATTGAAGAGATTGAATTGAATAGAACAAGAAGGGAGACCGAAAAATTGTACTAACAACAGAATTGAAGGAATCATGAAGCAGTTAAAGACAACTGAAGGAAGATGCGCAAGTGATGTATTCAGTGTATGATTTTTATATTTTATTGAGCTACTCTGTTATTCCGCGTTCTCGTTCACTGCAATAATACTACTATTAAAAGATAATGGGACTGATGACCCAGACTATATTACCACTAGACTGGATATCCGATTGATACATCATACACAGATTGGGGTCATAATATATCAGATACATAATTCATAACCGAAAATAGGGAACCAGTGTATCTATTAGACAACACTAACCAACACAATTACAAGCAGTGAGTCCAAAGTAAAAATTACTAATAGAAAGGAAATCAAACATTGAATAGTCAGTAAGCTGCGTGTCTCCCAGTTCGTGCTCAGTAGCCACTCACAACATTTACTTTCACTAGCCGCATATCATATCGAAAAACAGGGAGTTTTGGATATCTGCTTCGTTTTAGTAATGTAACTCACTGGTACATATAATTGAGATCAATCAGTATTGAATATAACATACACATTCTGTGATCATTCTACTGTACAGTTCATGATAGTTACTAAGACTAGAGGGAAATTAAATCTCAGAAGAAATACTTAATCATTGATAACAATATTATAGGTCATTAAAAAAAGATTGTACATTATAAGAAACTGCTGTAAACTTCTTACGTAATAAACTATTTTAAAGTGATACATCGAACACTAAAAATTCATATTCATTAGGGTACTGTAAAATTTAAACATAATTGAACTACATAAGCAAAGATGGATAGTGGCTAGCAGTGGAATCCAGGACACGCGTTTCGTCCTGTTTGAAACTCGTTAGCTGGATGTACCTGCATCTGAGTTAATGTTCACTCTGCGATTCGAACTCAGTACCGTTCGCCTCAAACGCCATCGCGTTATCCACTTACCTACTGAGTCCTGATAGCCACTTGCTTGTGCAATGGGGTGAAGTTTAATTCACTTACTATTGTTTTACTTGAATCTTCCCATTGATGTTTTAGGACTGAAATTGATCAGTCTCTTATTGGCATATGTGCATACTGTGCGTATGCCTCGATATTGCCTTAATTTACAAGCATTATAAGCAAAGATGGATAGTGGCTAGCAGTGCACATATGCCAATAAGAGACTGATCAATTTCAGTCCTAAAACATCAATAAGAAGATTCAAGTAAAACAATACCAAGTGAATAATTAAACTACACTTTTCTTGACCACTTAGAAATACTAGACACATTAAACATGGATAATAAAATAACACGTTTTCTGTTCCCCTTTCCCTCCTCATTTCGTACACAATATATATATGTAACCAAATGTGACCATAAATATGCCATCTTGAATAAATCTATACACATTTAAATGGACTTAAATACAAATGTTCATATCAATTTAATATTTTGATTAATTTCAACTCAGTAGTCCAAAAATTACAAGACCACTGTACATTGACAATTGACCGATTGGTCTTCAAAATTGAACAAGTCTTCAATGATCGACATGATTAAAGAATGGTTTTTTTGTTTATTCAGAAACTCGAAGTGTATATGAAGTCATTAGATAAAGCACGTTTCACTCTCACCGTTTACATTCGAATATGTTTTCAGTTGTATGTAATTAGTCATAGCATAAGTAATGAAAGAGAGATATTGAAAGGAAGAAAGGATGTAAGCCCATATATAGCAATTAACTTTGATAATAATAATTTTTGAAAAGAGACAGTAGTCACTTTACTATCAAAATATTCCTTACTTTATTCAATAAACAGTTCATATCCTTCTTTCTTTTACAAACAGCTAAGATATCATTCACATATATCTAGAAAGGGAAGGTGATTTTTCTTCTCTTCTTCATATGAGAGACTGATGTGGTTTTGGAGTGTTAATTTATTCAATAAACAGTTCATATCCTCACATATCACATCGGTCTTTCATGAGAAGAACGATCAGCTTCCCTTCCTAGATATATGTAGATGATATCTTAGTTTTCTGTGAAAGAAAGGATGATATTAACTGTTTATTCTTCATTTTGTCATTTACTTGAACCACATGAAACCTTAATGGATTTAACCATTTTGTTATTTGTTTTATAAGATGAATTAATGTCGTTGCTCCCACTAAGAATTAAATCTATGATGTTCATAAGTTTCAGTTATATAATTACTCTAAAATGACTGTTTTATTTCTATATTTCAAGTTTAACACCTAATTTAATCCTTCCGTGTGAATTTTCTTTTACCTTTAGAAAATAATTGACATAAATAAATCACAAGTATTTCTGTCCGGTTTATATTATTTTCAAGCACAAATATTTGAAACTGTAATAGTTATTACATTTTCAATAATGGTCACATTCAAATTTAATAAATAACGATTAATAGAATGCTAATTTCTGATTCTCAGCATTGGGTTGTGGAGATTATTGAGTTATTGATTGAGATCTTGAACCGATTGATGTTAAACCACTATTGAAAACCTGGAAACACTGGATGGCCGTTTCATCCTGTTGTGCGACTCCTCAGCAGTGAGCATCGACGGTCTTACTTGAGAGATTCGAAAACAGGGCGCGAACACTTAACCTACTTGACCACTGAGTCGGTATCCAACGGTTTTAATGTATAACCTCAACCAATCCACGAAATTGTGCGACCATCTTGCATTGTACTGAAGTAGATACCTGTATCTGGTCACGGCTTCTCACTAGAACTCCGAGAATTCCCTCATGAAATTAGTCACTAGTGAGTGCATGGTAATTATCAGTATAGGGTTGTGGAGGTTACTAAGTAATTGATCTAGATATTGAACTGATTGATATTAGACCACCATTTAAAACTTGGAAGCACTAGATGGCCGTTTCGTCCCTTTGCGGGACTCCTCAGGTTTTCAATGGTGATCTAACATCAATCGGTTCAAGATCTCGATCAGTTTATGATTCGTCAAAATTTACTTATGCCAGGTCAGTTTAGTAAAGAACATTATCATCAACTGATTGTAACATATATTTAAATAAATTTGTGAAAAATTTTTCACATCATGCCTTATATTCATTAACTCATTTAAAATAGCTTACCGCAATTCTAGAAGATATATATAATATATATATATATAATTTAACTTTTTTCTTAATACCATATAACCAACATTGATCTAGGTTATCAATAAAGAACCTGAGTGTGTGAGGAGACAAAACAACAACAAAAAAGGCAAGTTTCTTAACCAAACCAATTAAACCATTATGTGTCGTTTTCCTTATCTCGTATAGTTACCTCAGCAACTAGTGTTAATCAAAAAATAATAATAATAATTTTCACATAAAAACGGTTAAAATAAGAAGCGATCCACAAATGATTGACTATGTCATGATGTATAGCAACTTAAATCAATGTATATATATGCCCGATTCTATTTTACTTATGACTGATTCCCAGTATGGTAACTTTAAGAAAATGATAGAATATGTTTTCATATTCATATACAGTACAAGCTGTAATGAAATTTCTTTTAAACTCTTATTAGATTACAATAATTATAAGATAAGTAAATATTCAATCATACAATATGTAAGTCTATAGGCCAATTTGTTTAATTATAGTTAAATTATAACTATAAAGGCGATGTTTCCTCTTTTTTTTCTTTCTTTCTTTCTGTGAAATAATATATTTTATTCAATAAATAAATATTTATCTATATTCAACTACATAGTAACTAATTAATTGTATAATGCAAAGATGTACATATAGCACATATGGTACATACACAGATTGATACATTGTTAGTAATTATCTGGTAACAGATAAATAGACAATAACACATTTATAAGTACAAACACATGGTAGTATTCAAAAAAAGGTATATATATATTCATCATTATAAAGTTATTATCATTTTTTATTAAATAAATGCACATTTTGACCTGTTTGGTTAGTGTAAAAGTTTTCATCGTTACATCATGTAAAAGATTGTAACATTTTCTGTTTTTGTGATATCTAAGGCGTGATGATGATGATGATGATGATGATGATGATGATGATGATGATGATGATGATGATGATGATGATGATGATGATGATGATGATGATGATGATGATGATGATGATGATGATGATGATGATGATGATGATGATGATGATGATGATGATGATGATGATGATGATGATGATGATGATGATGATGATGATGATGATGATGATGATGATGATGATGATGATGATGATGATGATGATGATGATGATGATGATGATGATGATGATGATGATGATGATGATGATGATGATGATGATGATGATGATGATGATGATGATGATGATGATGATGATGATGATGATGATGATGATGATGATGATGATGATGATGATGATGATGATGATGATGATGATGATGATGATGATGATGATGATGATGATGATGATGATGATGATGATGATGATGATGATGATGATGATGATGATGATGATGATGATGATGATGATGATGATGATGATGATTGATGATGATGATTGTGATGATGATGATGTGATGATGATGATGATGATGATGAGATGATGATGATGATGATGATATGATGATGATGATGATGGATGATATGATGATGATGATGATGATGATGATGATGATGATGATGGATGATGTGATGATGAGATGATGATGATGATGATGTGATGAGATGAGATGATGATGAGATGATGATGATGGATGATGATGATGATGATGATGATGATGAGATGATATGATGATGATGATGAGAGTATGATGAGTGATGATGATGATGATGATGATGATGATGATGATGGAGATGATGATGATGATGATGATGATGATGATGATGATGATGATGATGATGATGATAGATGATGATGATGATGAGATGATGATGATGATGATGATGATGATGATGATGATGATGATGATGATGGATGTATGATGAGATGATGATGATGATGATGATGATGAGATGATGATGATGATGATGATGATGATGATGATGATGATGATTGATGATTGATGATTTGATGATGATGATGATGATGATGATGATGATGATGATGATGATGATGATGATGATGATGATGATGATGATGATGATGATGATGATGATGATGATGATGATGATGATGATGATGATGATGATGATGATGATGATGATGATGATGATGATGATGATGATGATGATGATGATGATGATGATGATGATGATGATGATGATGATGATGATGATGATGATGATGATGATGATGATGATGATGATGATGATGATGATGATGATGATGATGATGATGATGATGATGATGATGATGATGATGATGATGATGATGATGATGATGATGATGATGATGATGATGATGAAAGAGTTCAACAGGATTGAGAATATTGTTATGTTTCATAAGTTATATCACACACTGACCTTGAATTCTTGATAGCTAGGAAGTATTGGACAGTTATTTTATTCTAGTGATGAGATCCATTCTATTAAGCATTCGCTACGCTTTCGGTGTTGAATCAACAACACTCATGATAAAGTATGAAGAACTTGATATTCAATTATGGAATGGCCAATATGAACTCGTGATCTAAACTGTTGAACTATTTAAAAGAGTTAAACACCATTTAGTAGAAAATTTAAAATACTCCTTTTCTGTTTTTGTTATGATGATTATCTTAACGACTTTATTAAATGGTGTATAGCTCATTAACTTTGACCACTGGGAAATCAGTTTCAGGTATCAATAAGCAAATCGTTTTGCACTACATTATAAGAATATCACTGAAATGTTTTAAAATGAACATCCGCCACAAATAAACGAAAACACTTCATCCGAATCTTAATACCGTCTAAAAGATACAATCAGAAAAGAAGGCAAATCCAACATTACATAACTGGGAGAAATATTACATTGAATATCGTGGACACTTTCATCATCTACACACACACACACAAACATAAGTTAACAATGAAATGGAATGAGATATCTTCACTAATAATAAATGATAGTTGAGGATCATGAATGCGAATTTATTTGAGAAAATATCGAAATTCTGGATCGACAGAATTCTGAAATTACCAGAACATTGCCAGAAACATAACATTTACATCATTTGACAGTCAATAGACGAATCGAGGTATATTCAGATTATTAACAACGTGCAAAAATAGTCAATCCATCAACAATGTGATTAAAGGTTAGTCGAATAAAACAGTTAACAACAACGCAAAAACAAAAACAAACGAAGACAACTAATCACAAACAAGATTATCAGAACGAACCTGTAGAACTCATTTCTATATAAAGTAACCATTGATAATATTATCCAGAACGATAATGAAAACTTTGCAATTGAACAGTCTAACTCGAAGTATATAATGAAGCCAAATTTTCTATAAACTATCCCATTAAATTGTTACATAACATTAAAACTTGGATTCTATAGATATGGTTAAGTATTTTTCATCTTCATATATTGAAATACTTTATCCACTTATCACTTCTAATTTGCCCCCAAAAGTCCTGGTACGGCCGAGAATGGGGTGAGTCAACTCTCCCTCTGGAAATGTCCTCACGTGGCCATGTGCATACAAACACTTCCAGGAAAGTCCTACTCACTGCCTTCTCGCGGCATTACTGTTATTTACCAAATTGAGAGGACGAAAAGCGAATGTCTGGCGTTTTAACCAGATTGGTGGATACAGAAGATCTACCTAGGTGGGTTGGAAAATCCTAATTCCAAACCAATGGTGCGCATGGCCTCCAAGATTATAAGGGAATAAATAGCTTATGAACCTGTTGTTGGTCACCAACTACCATGGGACTGCATCTCCTAACGTTGCTCCACTGCCTTGTGGATTAGACCTTTAGGTCGAAGGCACCTGCTTCGGTTTGGGAACCTGGTCAGTATCCCAACCGTTACATAAATCATACGATTTATGTGGCGCATATCTATTTGATGCCTCCTTGTACCAATATATTTATATGTTTAAATATAATAAATAACCGATAAAAATCGTCTTTAAATTAATGTAATATATATTATAATATCATGTTTTCATTCAATCAACATTATAATAAATGACAGTTGAATTTAATTTGTCATGATAAATAATAACTATCCAACAATAACTATCAATTATGTAGTTATATGAATATTATTGTTTTGACAGTTATTTCTAATGACATTTATCATTAATTATATCATGGTGAGGTTGATCTTGTGATAAATACACTGATGATAAGGCCTATCTATTATCTTTGACGAATCTATGAGTCTTACTTGACCTTGATATTCAATCAATAGGATATCGAAATTTATCTATCAATTAAAGGGTAATAAAAATAATTCACTATTTAATAATAATAACTAATAACTAATAATTAATTCAATAAATAATTAAATCAAAATAATAACTAACAAAGTATGCAGTCATGTTATTACTAATAATAATAATAATAATAATAATTACATTTTGTATGTGTGTAAGAGTTCTTAAGAGTGTAACCATACATAAGTACTCTACGGATATTAATATGTATGTATGTATATATGTATGTAGGTATGCATGTAGATAAATCACAATTAACCAGGTATTGAAGCAAGAAATATGTGCGTATGTATGTGTGTATTTTTATCACTCTGTCTTACTCTCAACTTCTTTCTATGTTCTTTTTTTCTCTTTTTTTTCATTATTTATCATGTATACCTATCTATCTATCTATATATATATCAATTGCTTGTTATTTCTCAGTGTTGTAAAATTATATGGTATTGTCCATCAATTTAACAATTTAAATGCCAGTCAAATAACAATAATAATAGTAATGGTAATAGTAATAAACTTTATTTCATTCTTTGTTTTTTAAAGAAAGATATATTAAATTTGAGTGTTTATAACCAGTGGGTAAATGAGCGACAGAGATAGTTGAAATAGAGCGAGAGAGAGAGAGAGTGAGAGATAAAGAGAGAAAATAAAAATTGAAGAAAAAAATGTTTTTGTTGTTGTTGTTGTTGAATACTTGCGAAACAAAAATGTGAGCTAGTCATTTGAAACCAATGGAAAATGAATGTATGTATGAATGAAAGTATAATCTATGTCATATTTGTTCTTGTTTAAACGTATTAACACTTTCAATATTCAATTTTCAGTGATATATATATTGCTTATCACTCAAGATAGTAATCAGTCAATGTTGGCCTGTCAACCCAACTACTCAGAATAAGTTTGTTATCGTATATATTTTTCTTATTATCCAATTTGTATTATTTAGTTTATAGAAAGGTTATTAATAATCAAGAAAAATAGCATTAATAGTAACTATATAATCATTTAAGATATACATTCTCAGTCTGTATGCTTGATCATGTAAACACTATATTCTCATACTGTTTTTCTTGTTCACTCTAGTGTTATTATTGTCATGTATTTATTACACTTTTAACAATCAATAATTTCTTGTTACTGCTACGGATAATTTAATTATGAACTGATAAATGATTATTGTTTTATAGGGAAAAACATGCAAATCTTTAATTTCTCGGCATTTATTTACAATTGATTGATAGGATATAGTCTGCTGACCTTAGTTACACGTATGTTACTGAATTATTAAAGAATTAATTAGAATCATAGTTACAAGTAATAATAATAATAGTCTGACCGAGTAATAAAAGTGCACGTCTATGAATGTACTTTTCAATGATATCCTGGATTCAACACAGACTAATTCATATAAGGGATATAATTGTAAACCACCAACAACTAGATAGATGTTTGATTGGGTTAGTATTTACTAGTGTAATGATAACTTAAATTGATTGATGGAATAGTACGATCATTATCAAATACTACTATCTTATTCACCGTAAACTTTAAGTTCAGGAATTCAATGTTTGGTAACATCAAAGGTGTGCATTGTTGACGAATCCTATAATAGAATAAATCAACTGACCGTTGTTCATTAGTCTTCTTTGGTAAACTCAATAGAAATAAATCTATGATACATATAACCTACAAGCCACACCAATTTTCAAGAAATCTCTTTAACTAATAATTTTATACTGAAGTAAGTTAGTCATCTGAATAAACAGATTTGTGATATTTTCTTTAGTGTATAGTGTTGTGGATATCATTGAGTTTTATAGGTTTACATCATACATTATTTTCTGGTTGCTGAGTTACTACAAAATGATTTACATTTCCAAATTCAATCTATTTACGACATTGTACGATTAACATTCATTACCATTAGTGATAATTGATTCGCAACCGACATGGTTGAAGTTTACTGATCCTGGCTTCTTATTAACTCTCTTGGAACTATCTATTTAAGTTAATCACGAATAAATAGATGATTTTTTAGCACAGGCAGTTATGAGTATTGTTGAATTTAGCTGTTTTACGATACAGCAAGACTTTAGTTAAACAACCATTAAAAACTTGAAATCAATTAATAGCTTTTTTTATCCTAGTACCGGACTTCTCATTAGTATGCGCTAAATACTGCTAACTTAAAAGGAACCCAGTAACTTTAGATCTTGCGGTGAATATACTATCTTTACACCATTACGCTTAGATCCTCTGACTTACAGTTTGCAATTCAACAAATTCACTAATATAGTACGATAATCATTCTATTCGTGGATTAGAAACACATAAGAAATTGATAATCTATTCTGAACATGTTAAGAATGTGGTAAGTTAGTTATCTAATATGTTCTGTATGTGACATTTTGAGGCCCAACCGCGTATACATACATACAAAGAACACAAACCTACAAAATCTAATATAAATTACCAAATAAATGAAACAACGTGTTGGAGATTTTCGTTACAAGTTAATTTCAATCGGAGTATCAGTCAGAACTAGGGAACATTGAAAAACTGTTTTATACTAGTATAGAACCACCTGATAGAGAGAATCCATGACCCTTGTAGAAATCGAACTAAGAGTCTTCAGTTCTAGCAGTGAACATTTAATTAATAAACCTTTAGATTGGCATTCCAAACCTCGATTCTATTCACGATATACATATGATCATCATCAGATATCATTTGATTAAGTACCGACATGTCTAAACTCATTTTAGTCAAAACTAGAATTTCACATTTTCTAAAGGTACTTGAATTGACGTTAATCTGAAACTCAACAACCCTTACAAATCTAACCAATCTACACACAAAACCCCATACACATAATGGAATTTGTATAGTCATTTCCATAATAATAATAATAATAAATTTCAGATGGAATTGTCCCTTCCTTTTTGAGAAAGAGAATATCAAATAATAATTGTTTTAAGAAAGATAAATTCAAGTGATAAATCATCGGTCTAACAAAAAGAAATCTTTGTTCAAAAAAATTTGGCAGCATGTTGTTGTTGCTATCGGAAACGGTGAAGGTGTCTTATTCAACCCATTATTTTTTAT